ATAGTTAAGATTATAATTAACAAGGTCAACCCCCTATTTGGACTCAGGAATAAGTTAACAAAGGAAAGTCAACTCTCACAAGTCTTGAAAAAATAAATGATCCAAGAAGATCCTCATCAAGTAAGCGTAATTTTTTAATACGTACGATGTTATATATTATGTGAGGGTATAGTGTTTAGAGTAAGTTTTATCAAAATTCAATCTTAATCACACACGTTTTATTAATTTTCTTGTTGGCTAATGGGAAAGCAGGAAAGTTTTTCCAAATAATAGAATGTGAGTATATACACAACCTAAAACCTATTTTATTTTCAAAGTTATTTTCTATGTTAACCTTTAGGAGGAAATAATCAATAATATAAGTTTCCATTTTCTCGTGGATTTAATTTTGCTTGTTCAATTAAGAATGATATGTATTTCCCCTTTTTAGGTAATCTCATATCTTGTTTTCCTCTCAAATATCTCATTACTAAGAAGAATAAAGAAATTTTTTATGTGTGTGACATCATGAGAAAAATACCGATACATTGTTTAACTATTCTTTCTCCACTTATATGGTATTTATGTGGCTGCAAATATTCGTACATAAATATGAAAATTTGTACTATATATGACGAATATCAGTGATGTGTGTGTGTGTATATATATATATATATATTTCTTTTTTTTATGCAAAGTAATAATACATTTTCATCACATATTAAATGTATAAGAGGTGTTGTAATCATCGCATGTTACTTTAATATGTGCCGTAATCACTTGTGTCACATATGTCAATTCGTGTGATGAATTATATATTTTCTCTTTTGTAATCTAAAATTAAAAATTTTAGCAAATATAAAGCAACTCTTCAATTAATCACATTTTCATATATCAACAATTAAACATATAAGATCAATATATACACCAAGTGTACATCCCAAAAACTAACATAAACGATCTCAAAATCAATTTAAGTCGTGGTGTACCATTTCAACTTAATAATAATTCAACATGGAGGGCACTATTGGAAAAGACGTTCACCAAATCTAGGATTCTCCGAGATTGTTTAGGAAAAGATTTGTATTTAATTTGTAATTCCTTTTTTACTGTGAGCCTTATTAGATTAGAGATTTATTAGGAGAATACTCATGTATATATTGTATTATTCAGATCAATGAAATCATTCATTCGAGACAATTTTTCTCGTAATATTCTTTCTTCACATGGTATCAGAGCCAGGGGACGGGCCCGTACTGCCACGTGATTGGATGGGTCCCCTTTGGCCCCGCGCGATGTCCACATAGGCCAAAGATGCCACGTGATTGGGTGGGTCCCCGTTTGGCCCCTCGCGATGGGTGAGCCCCCACTAGCTCCACGTGGTTGCCAATGTGGATTTCCACGTGTGACCCATAAAATGTGGTCTGACGTGCGGGGAAGTGTTGGAACCCTTATTTGTCCCTCAGGCACCAGCACTAAAAGTAAAGTTTTTCCTTCCCTGAAAGGCAGAGAGCTTAGATGGATCTCAAGATGAGACTATCTGAAAGCTTTGCATTAGGGAATGGTGCTCTTGGTATTTTGAGGTTCAGAAGGAACTATATTTGATGTGCTTATAAATAATACTACTATATTATCAAATGATTTTACAGTAGAATTTCAATTTTTTTTTCAAATATATTTAAATGTTTAAGATCTTGTAAGGTGCTTTCTTGACTAATGTCTAAAATTATAAGAAGAATATTTATCTGTCTATTCATCTTCCTATTGCTTGCCATATAATATCTGAATGACACATCAACAATTATACTGATATTTAACGAAATAGATTGAATCCAGGTAGAGTGGAAGGGTTAAGTGACAAAATATAAATTCCAAAAGGCAAAACGAGATCAAAATAATATTTCAAGAGAGCAAAAAATAAGTCTGGATAAATATTCTTTTCATAATATTAAATATGAGTACTATAAAGCCACTCACATGTCCTATTTCACCACCCACTTTTTAATAAAAAATTCTAATGACATATTTTATTTTGTAAATGACTTATAAACCCCAATAAAAAGCCATGAGAACAAAATAAAAAAGAAGTTAAGAAAGGAGAGCACAAAACCTCTAATCTCTCTCTTCCCGTTTCTCTCTCTTTCACCTCCTGCCCTCTCTTACTTTGTTTCCAAATCTACTCTGTCTCTATGATTGATAGCTGTTGGGGAAGAATTACAACGGATATGGTGAGAGGCTTCAATTCTTGACAACAATCTCTAAAAATTTGAAATCTCATATATAGTTCTTGATCTTGACAGTCTTTATATTTGGATTTGGTATGGGAAGAGAGAAAGAGAGAAGAAGAGAAAGGGAGGAAAAAAATTGGCCGGCAGCAAGGAGAACGACAGCAGGTGCGGTGGTGAGTTTGGTTGATGGCGGGTAATGAGTTCCAACGCTATGTTGCTACGTGGCGGTTGAATTTATGCTTTTTTCTCTATCTTAATTAAGTTTTTGTTATAAGTTTTAAAAATAAAGATATATTAGGAATAACAGTAAGTGGAGAAAGAGAAGTAATCTTTTTGCATTTTTATATGTGATTGAGAAAACAAGACAAAGAGATGAATCTAGCAGCTCCTAATAAAAATTTACCAGACTCAATCTTCCTTGTATTACACATATCACATACACATGGAGGCATTATGGGCTCTTACGTTTGGTCCAATTTGCTATTTAGCTGATGCATACATGGAACTCATCAACATGATTTGAATTATGTATACTCATTCACAAGTCATGAATATGAAAAAGTGATTTGGAAGCATTATTTCTATAATTATTCCTAATCTCTTCGAGACCCTCGGTTTTTTCCTGCATAGCTGATTTGGGTCTCTTACAATTCTGCAAACTCGAGACCCTTGGTTTTTTTCCTGATTAGCCGATTTAGGTGTCTTACAATTCTGCAAACAAGCATAACAAGAGAAAAAAATTACAAAAGGATGTGTCGGAGACTCAATGTTGGGGAAATTTGGAAAATATAGCCTTTTGAGAAACACTTAATCAAAAAATTGATGTTAAAAAGACTTAATTACCCTTAAATTAAAACTCTCTCTTCTCCTATTCCTCTGACGTCTGGAGTTCACCTCCTATCCTTATGACCAAAAACGCTAGTCTCTGCACCAGCAAGTTGAAGAAAGATAATCATTTCTTCTCAGCCGAAGAATCTCCTAAATTCAATCCAATACAACAAATTCTCATTTCCTTGTCCTGATACTCGTACATCCCACCAATTTCCCCCAGAAAATTCCCAACTATTTTCCCAGAAAATTCACAACATTCCCGAGAAAATCAGGCCCAGGTTCTCAAATCCGAAAATGATGACAATCAAAGACCCAAGTCTCGCAATTGACTAATCGGGTAGCGCCATTTACTTCTTCAATTTCCCTGAGGATGTCCAGCTCTGCATCATCTCCTTCCTCACGCCTTCCGAGATCGCCAGCTTGGCCTGCACATCAGAGCGGTTTGTTTCGCGCTGCAAATCCAACGACAAGCTCTGGTTCAACATGTGCGATCGTAGGTGGGATTGCAAATCAGACGGCAATTAAGGAGATATTGGAGAAAGATCTAGGATTGGATGCGATCATACAAGTTACTAAAGTATTGTTTCCTCTTTTAGAGCAGAAGATTGGCAATTATACTTACATACGAAAAGTTTATCTTTTCTAAACATGTGTTGGTTTTTCGAGTCGCCTGGCTCATAGACTTGCAGTTTTTGGTCATATGGATAGAATCGATACCACATAAGCTATTCTACAGAGATGTATTCTTTTGCTGCAATTTATTTTTTCAGAATCATCTTTTACAAAGTTTTACCACATGGAGTGATAGATATAAAGATGACCGAATGACTGATAAAATTAAAGATGGCTGAATGAAACCATGGAAGCGGTGGAATGCAGGTTCCGCTGTACAAGTAAGGGCTGATCGTTTATGTAATTCAATATGCAACTTAAGGGTAATTAAGTCTTTTTAACTGCAATTTTGGTTAGTTTTATAATAATTGAGAAAGATAGGTTATATTTCTTTAGTTGGTTCTCAAAATGGCTACATTTCCAAATATCCCCTCAATGTTTCAATTATAGCTCGAGAAAAAAGAAGAAAAATGTCATGTTGGTGTCTTACAATTATGTTTATATTTTTTTCTTTTTATAATGCTATTTATAAAAGGGTGTCTTACAACTCTTTTTCTTTTTTTCTTTGTATGACGCTACTTATGAAACTGAGTTGAGAAGTTTGACTTATACTAGAAGGTGGAGTCATGTACTCACAGGACTAGCTCTATTGGATATAGATTTTTCCATGTATAAATTGACGACCGACTCTCTTCAATTCGATGTTTGTATTTAAAATTCCAAACTTAGGCAACAATCTGCAATACACAATACTTTGCAAAGTATTGCAGAGGATACATAAAAGGATTACTGATAGTAGTTTTATAAGTGAACTTGGTTTGTAGCATTTTCTCGTTTCTGATCAAGGCGATAAATGATTCTAACTCGGCCATCAACATTGTGATCAGAAAGACTAATACGCGAAGAACTCAATTGAGAAGGCCTACATCAAGAACTCAAGTTATGAAACAAATTAAACATGCAAAAATCAAACAAATATTTGTTAGAAAAAAAAAGGAGTACACAATAAAAAATACTTTTATGAGGAGTGCACAATTAAAATTTTATTTTAAAGGTAAGTAGCGCCCATTATAATGATAACGAAAATTTCTATCTCATGAATGATAAACCAATTATTATGCGATTAATAGGCAGACTGCATACGCATCTTTATTCAATCTGCTATCCATGATTCACTCATTTTTTGCGATCAAGTGTCACAAAACTTAATAGAAATTTTATCACCAACTTAATCTCAACAAATATAAAAATAATGTTCAGGAGCAAAGTAATTAACAAACGTACACCCAAAGTAATGAGTTTAAGAATTCTGAAAAGAACTATGAGTCACATGGGGAAAAACTCAACGACTAAAAAAAGGCAATGAAGCCCTGCAAATGCATTGTGTATTGCATTCCATTTATTATTAAACACCATTACCAAAAGGCAGGACTTGACACACTTCTTAATCGTTCAATATGTTTTCTTCAGCAACTTCGGCTTAGAGGATGAGATGAATAGAGGTTTATATGGTTTGTCCTTGGGACGTTCAGGACACTTTTCCGACCAGTGGAGACCACTATTCCTACAGTAGTTACAATATGCGACAATAAGGCGTCCTTTCGAGGAACCACCAGGGTGGCACAAAGGTTGGGGTTTTTGTAGAGTCTACGATCAAAAAGACCACAAACTACACCATAGCCATCGCCAACAATAGCGCCCGGTGGGACACCATTCCAATATGGGCAGGCAAAACTGAAATGCTCATTTTCCTTACAGCAAACTCTACAGCGCCCGAAATTACATTCTTCTTGTTCAGCTCTTCCCTCGATCTGGAGTTGAGCCTTTGAGTCTCCAACGTCCTTTAGTAAACATTTTTGTTTTTCTGTTTGTTAGCAATTCCATTGTTAAATACAAGGACAAGAAGCAAAAGAAAAATATTCAAATCACACGTATAGAGGTTATAACCATAGCCTAATTTTTCTTGCAACACTAAGTATACTATAGAGTCATAAGAAACATGTAATGAGCCAATTACACAATTATTAAGTAGCAATTGAGTTGAATAGAATTGTGAATCTGAAGAACATTAGATGCATGGGAGATGTAGAGAGTTATTTATATTACTCAATTAGTCAAATAAAAAAAGATTCAAGGTAATCTTCCCAGCACAAACCCTAAAACAAAAATCAAAAGCCATACCATGATTAGGTCTCTGGATATGGAGGACTTCTCGTCGGGGTTTCTCCACGGACCCGGATCTCACACGATACTTGGATTTGGGTTTGGCTCCGAATTTGTATTTGGATTTGGATTTGGCTTTTGTCTTGGCGTCGTCGTCAGAGAGAAAGAGAGATTGCACAAGTAGGGTTTTAGCGTGAGGGAGGTGAGACTTGGATTTCGGTTTGGTTCTAGTTTTTTCTTTGGATTTGGCCATGGCTGACGACAAAGAGAGTCAAGAGAGAGATGGAGAGAGAGATTTTCACAAATTAGGGTTTTAGCGTTATTTGGATTGTTAATGGTGATGTATAAATAGGGAGAGAGCCGACTTCGATCGGTTAAAAAGGAAATTTAAATTGCCTCTTTTGTTATTTCGATAGTAAAAAAACTTCCAAAAACTTTTTTTTTTTTTATAATTAATTACTCAAATTACATATATCATGCCAGGCAATTTATCGAAAGGAAGATACATGGCCCTATAGAATTTGTATGCCTTTAGTTCGATGCTTGATTAGTTAGGCCATCTCGAATCGAAATGATTAAATATATTCCTATTTAGAATTATAACTCTATAAAAAATTATTTTAAAATGAACAGCTTCAGGTTATACTCATATATCATTTACAAACGAATAAACTAAATATACCCACCTTAATACTGACCAAGAACAGTGGTGACCAGTTGGCCTTAATGAACAACATGTTGATGCGTATTTCTATAGGATTTAACGGGTCTATTCATACATTTCCACGGTTGAACTAACTAAATTGTTTTTGAAAGGTTACCTCAATTAAGGTCTAAATTAGAACAATATATTGCGACTCATCTAATAGGTTGCAACCTTTGGAACTGTCTATATAGGTTAGATATTAGAATTTCAAAAGCAGTCATTCCGTCCATTATCTTCGAGAGAAACATATGTACTCTTCTTGCTAAATTCTAACGATTAAGTGTTAGGACGCTTAAAGATAGATGATTAAATTTTGGTTAGATATCGTCCAGACTCTAATGCAGCACACTAGTGAAGACGAAATTCTGTCCAAAGGACATTGCCGAAAAAGTCTATATCTTTAACAAACCATTCTGGTTCAAAAGAGCTCAAACTGAATGAGAAAGGGTTCCTCCCTATTTAAGTCAAAACACAAAAGGAGCTAACCGACTAGAAGTACTCTTGATATCTTTATGTATGAGTTGTCTGTCGGAAAGAAAAGCAGCAAAGCGGTGTGTTGGATTGGAAGTTTTCATATGGCAAAGATTTTTACTTAATTATTCTTTTGTTTTGTTTTGCTTTTAGTTTGCTGATTCAAAGTCTATACTCTTATACAACGCGGCAACGCCTATACCTAAATTTGTACGCAATTTCAGTGAACTTACAAGCCGAAATTAAAGCTACTCAAACCTACCCAAAGCCACGACTTTTCACATGCAATTTCAAGGTTAATTTGTTTTTTTTTTTTTTTGTTAAACAATAGATTTTGTTAGATTAGATGTTAGATTAGCAGGGGTTGAACCCACTCCGTCATACAAGAGCTCAACACCTTTATACCACTGTGGTAAATGGTCACTTGCTTAAGGTTAATTTGTTTTCATGACCTATTGAATGTCGTTATACAACATGAACTATTGTTTACCGTCATACAAGAGCTCAACACCTTTCTACCATTGTGGTAAATGGTCACTTGCTTAAGGTTAATTTGTTTTCATGACCTATTGAATGTCGTTATACAACATGAACTATTGTTTAGAAGAGTAGAAGATTCATCAACCATATCAAAATGACCAAAAGACTCATTTTGCACTGCTTCTAACTACGAAAAATCATGGTTTGATTATATACAAAATATCTAACTTAAACCGCAAAAAAAAATATATATATATATACACACACACACGCATAGATGTGGATTTTTTTTCTTTTTCTTTTAATCTTTTGGGACTGAAACTTTTTGGTATTGACAACCAAAAAAAATTTAAATTTTGGCTCACCCTAAATTCTTTTTATTTTTCATTGTCCACATGGCCTCCACCCAAGACCAATTCCTAGATCTCAATGGACGCTAGTTTAGTGGGTCAAACATATATAAAGTAGAACACCGCGGCTCCAATTCAAACTAATCAGACATAACGCACTAAACTCCAGTTAAACCCTAATTTATTACTATTATCTACACAATTATGCATCTCTATACATACCAAACCCTCCCACTCCATTAATGGCATAAACATAGAAGATTTCCATTAATTTCATATTGTTTGTAGGTATACAAAAATAGCCTACTTTGTTAAAAAAAAAAGTACCAAAATGTTGCATTTGCTTTCACAATATTGTTATGGGTATCTGGTTTCCATGAAGTTTTGGCTATGAGGCCATTAGAGGGAGATCACCGGACACAAAATGATTCTCTCCACATTCAATCACTTCGGGGTAAGGTGCCTCCGACCGGGGGCAATCCTTGCACTCATATTCCGGGACGCGGCAGCGGACGGTGCGCATTTGGAATGGACGTTGAGGACATGCAACGCAAGAAGCCTTCCCAGGCCACGTTGTTAGTCTTGCAGTAACTACTGCTTCTGTTCCCAGTGACATTAAAAAGCTAAGACCAATTAGTTCTTGATGATCATGGTCTCCCAAGGTAGCTGAATTCAGCTATAAATTGAAAAATATTGACATTGTAATTATTTTTACTGTTTTTTTTTTCTTCGTTAAAGTTATCATGTTAAAGCTCAAGCAAGAAGCATGGTTGTTTTGCAACCCCATTTAAGGAATCCATTGTTTAACAATTTACAAGCAGTAGTGCTGAATGAAATTTAGATGATTTTTCTTTTTAATTTTCTGGACACATTTTTATTATTGATATGGACTCGGAGAATGCAAATTTGTCATGCATGAACAATTATGTAGGTTATAGGTATAGCCTGCAAGGTTTGGATCATTGGATGGGGCCTCTTTCTGGGTCTAAAACCTTCCACAAGTGCTTGTTTTTTACAACATTCTTTTTTCGGTAGACATGATGAATTTGATACCTATCTCCACTTATTAGGGGTGTAACTCGGGTGGGTCGGGCAGGTTAGACAATCAACCCAACCTTCATAATACGGGTTTTAGTTGGGTTTAATTGAGTTCAAGCTTATTCGAGTTCGTTCGGGTTAGTCCAACTTTACGATTTCAATTTTTTTTTTTTTGGTCAAATGTCGAGTTCAATTTTATAACACCTTATGTTGCATGATTTTTCAAATTTGCAACCAAACAATGTCAATATTAGTTAAAATTTCATTTACACATCACCATCCACACAAAAGTTAGAGCAAACAACTTGGAAACTATTTCTAATGTTTCAACCATGCAAAGTTGAAATTAAATTACAAGACGTTTAACAAAGCTTCAACCAAAGAAAATGTAAAAGTAATACTATCATTCATTATCCATATTAAAACCAACAATAAACTTCAAATATAGTCATTCCAAAACTTTCACATAATTTCTAATATGATGAGGGATGGGTAATATGTGCATGAGCAAATTCGAGCTCAAAATCGGGTTGGGTTTGGGATGACATGGACGGCAAGGCATCAACCCTGCCCAACCCAATAAATGATGGGGTTGACTTCGTGTTGGGTTTGGGAGGATTTTTCTTCCTTCTAACCCGCCTGATTTGGTTAAAAATAAGGTTGGGAATTAGCTGATTCGGGGTGACCCAACCCCTATAATATCTCTACCACTCATTAATGTATACAATTACCTACATCATTGGAGATGATAGTGCTTTCTAGCCCGACCCAAGTACTAGTCCACCATACAAAAGAAAGAAAAAAAATTCTCATTCAAACAATGTCGCTTAGAAATTTCAAAAGAAAGGTACCAACCATTGTCACTACGACATTGTTAAGGACTTGCTCCACTGCAAGCAAGCAACAATACCCAGAGCAAAGATACCATCGAAGATCACATGGATGGCTTGTCGACAATTCTGACACAAATTTCCCAAGAGCTCACCAAAACTTCCAAAGAGGTATTTTTGCTTGCATAAGTGGTGGATAAAATCATTGACAGTGTCGTAGTGACAATGGTTGGTACATCTCTATAGAAATTTTTGAGCGACATTGTTCGATTGAGGAATTCAGGGCTTTTTTCTTTTCTTTTATATGGTGGACTGATGTTTAATTGAGCCAAAAATGACGTCTTCAATGATGTAGGTAATTGATTAGAATATCTTCCTCTCAGTATAGAATATATTTGTTAGTTTCTTCATTATAAGTTTCTTACCCAACTAATTAATTAGCTTAACTTAATACAAAAATTAAAAAAAAATCAAGAAATTATTTCAAAAGAAACTTCTTTTCTCCCTAATAAACATTTTTGGCTGCCCCATTTCACATATGTTCCATTTTGTTAGTCCTTTGAGAATGGAGATGCTTCACAGTCTGTGCCTCCTTCCCATAGACAACAATCTCACTTTCTCATATCCTAATACCAAATTAAGGACCCTGTTGCCTGCAGTTGCAGATTCCCCCTGCCATTTTTCATATCGACTCATTGGTGCAGGTAGTAGGAGACTCCCTTTCATTCACGAAAAAAGCATCCAAAAAATGAAAAAACTGGCTCTTTTTTTACTCTCTTTTTATTCGAAGCCATGAGAAATGAAACTTGAAAGCTTTATTTTGCAGTTGTACAACAAGTCCTCCCCTCTGAAAACCTTATTTTTATTTTTATGTGCGAGAAAAGCAAGTTTGTGTTGTGTGTGTCCTACCAAAAATAGTGTGTCAAACATATAGGACATGTTTCTGTGGCCAATCACATGGTTAGTGCAGCACAGGGAAAAAAACAAAGTACCATATAATTACAAGTTTTGTTACGGCAAGGGCCCTTGCCCCCGCCATAAGGACCTACAAGTATAATAATAATTTCATTGTGACTATCATATCGACATAAGTGCCATCCTTTGATGTAGAACTATATCATTGTATCATGGTGCATTTAATTATTAACACTATACTTTGATTATATGATTTCCACGACTATCGATATACATTGCTGGTGAGGACCGAGGAGTGTCAAAGGAGATATTCCATAGGACGTTGGATACCGCCCTGGAGTCTTCAACGTCAACAAAAGCCAAGTCAAAGGAAAGAAGCGAAATCGCATTAAAAAACAATTAGTCGGAAGTTAAAGAACCACATCTGAATCCAGTCATAAAATCCCAAACCCTTTGACAAAAGTCAACCTGCCATAGGCGCATCCGATGAACTAAGCCAAACCCAGCCACA